CTGGTCTCCTTGACCCCATCTCCTCTCCTTCTCTCACCTTCCAGCCTTCCTCAACCATGTTTACTTTTTCATTCATGCTAATCCACTCTGAGCAGGCCGCTATCTCTGCCAGAAATCCTTTAGGGATTCTCCACTTCGGATTTCTAAATTTCCAGCCTTGATTTCTATTGTCCCCCACACCTACTCCACATTCCAACCTTATCTCCTATTGTACTCACACCTACTTCACATTTCAGCTGCCGGGTCTACTTGCAATTCCCAGGGTCCCTTGCATTTTCCTTGTGGAACTTTCTGCAGGCTCCCCCCCTCTATCTAATCCATCTCCGCCCATTGCAGTCCTACTGATTATTCCAGAACTAGGTCAAGCGCCAACTGTTCAAATATGTTTTCTTCCTCTCCTATTCAATTCTGTATTGCCATTTCTGCATTGCTTACCATATGTTAACTCTGTGTTATCATTTATATATCCTTATTTGTGTACTTACTTTTTCTGCCTACCAGTATTTCTTAAACACCTGTAATATGTCAAGGGTATGCACTAGGCACTTTGCATGTGTTATCTCACTTAATTTAATCCTCACAACAGCCTTGTAAGAGTAAGAATAATAATGAGTATTACCATCCCCATTTTACAGATCAGGCACCTGAGGCTGCAAGAAGCCAATTAACTTGTTCGAAATAGCATCCTTACTAAGTGGCAATCATCACTCACTCATCCCATTTTATTACAATCCATGTATGCCAGATTCCCAAGCCCTATGGACTTTTCAGTATAGACTGGGAAGTCCCTTTGGGGGCAATTAGCTGTGGAGCCTCAGGACAAGGCAGATCTGTTAAAGAAGGTTTTCTGCTCCTCTCTCATTTGATGTATATTCATTGTGCTATAGGAAATGCTCCTTTGGCTCTCAGTCAGCCTCTGGCCCAGGCTAGCACAAAGCTAAAGAAATGATTCATGAAAACAAATACCATACAGGATGCTTAGTTCCACTGGTGACCTTGATTATTGTAAAATTGTGAAAGCGAAGGCATGCCACACCCCAGCACAGGTTTAGCAATCTAGAACTCCCTGTTCTCTGCCACCTCAGTTTAGGCCTCATGTTAAAACTTTTTTTTTTTTTCCTGATTAGATCCAGAGGGGTACCTCAGATTTCAGAAACAAGGCTGGAACAGCATTGTTGTCAAATCAGATTGACCTGATGAGAGTCCCTGCCAATAATACCCAACATGGACTCACAAGAAATTCATATGAAGATTAAGAATAGAGAAGGGTTAGTCTACCCTGAATTGATTTTTCACCATTTAGGGTTGGAAGCCCCCAACCTTGTTGAGTTGGTTCATACTGCCAAATGAAGACTATTGTAACAATGGGTTTATTCTTTTCCTTATTATTTGGAGTCAAGGGTGTCCAGCAGCCACTGTTTGCTCAAGGAGAGTCTAAACAGGACTTGCTGATGCCTGTGGCCAATGAGCATGACTCCTAAGCCACTTTGACTCTGGCATGGGGTATGGATCTAATGGTAAGGAAGCTGAACAAGAAAGGGGGTTAGGTAACTAATTTGTATTTGCTTTTGTGTTTTGTGTGTGTGTGTTTTAATTTTCTCTTTCAGTACTCAAAGCAATCCTTTTTAGGTAGATGTTATTGAAACACCCATTGTGCAGATCCAAAAACTGTGTGGTAAATAACAGGCAGGGACTAGAACCCTGTTATGTTGAGTTGCACAGATTTCCACTGCCCTAAGCTCATGTTCTGCAGTAAGATCTTTTGCTTAGGCAAATGTCAGCCATTTAAAAAGGACTAAATGCAAAATTTGTGCCCAAGTTAGAGTTCTCAAGCATCAGTATTCTTCCTTCCCTCCAAACCAAGATGATACAAAGTGTTTAATTTCTTAAATGTCTCACATTTTCCAGAGTTGACAAGATCTCACCAAGAAGCAGTAGTGGAACTGTAAGATTCTTACCTTCCACTCAGGAGACTCCCATGTTGGATTCTTAGGCAAGGGCGCTTGCTTGAACTAGGTATCTCAGTTGGTTAGGCCACACACCACCAAGGCCAGTAAGCCACAGTCACTGAGAAGATCATCCCTTTCCTAGCCATCTTTAAAACAGGTGATAAAGGAGCGCCTGTGTAGCTCAGTTAGTTAAGCATCTGCTTTTGGCTCAGGTCATGATCTCAGCATCCTGGGATCGAGCCCATGGCAGGCTCCCTGCTCAGCAGGGAGTCTGCTTCTCCCTCTCCCACTGCCCCTCCACCTGCTCTTGTGCGTGTGCACTCTCTCTCAAATAAATAAATAAAATCTTAAAAAAAAAAAAAACCCAGTTCATAAAGTGGCTAAGTGGAAATGTAGACAGTCCAGGGCAGGTCATCATTGGAACTGATAAAAAGTTATCAAAAGTGCCACTGACTGGGATCACTTGTGTCATATTCATGAATGAAGTAAAAAATTATCTCTCTTTCCCCTCACCCTTCACTTCTTCATGATCTGTTATGTTGTAGACAGTCTAATGGATAGAGCACCTTCATAATAACATAGTTCCTTGTGAGAGGGGGTTGTTGTTACTAATCAGTGAACACTGACAACTTACAAAAAGTATTTCAATCTCTCAAAACCCTAGCCCAGTATGACACTGGAGATCCTTTTTACAGGGCTAGACTCTTGGTGTATTATGAAATCTTTCACATCTCACAGAGATAACAGAACAACTCTTATTTTAGTATATGTGCTGCCGAAGCGAGCACCAGAACAACTCTTATTATTTTACCTTCCCCAATGCAGTTCTTGTATTTTGTTGCTGCCTCCGCCATATGGTTAAAAAAGGTTACCAGAGAACAACCAAATAATGTTATTTCAACACTATAGAAACTACTGAGTTTTGTTACTCCTTAATACCTTTGTGTCTCCCTCCAAAAAGAATGCTCAAAGAATTTTCATTTGGAAGACATTCACTACCTATTGTGTGAATTGTGTTGGCAATCTTTTCGAAACACCTTCAAAAAGACTCATGACATATGTCAGCAGAAGTCCAGAGAAGGAAAGTAGAGACTGGCGGAAAGCGAGATATTACAGACTCAAAGTCTGATCAGAGGGGTTGTGGGCTGTCAGGTCCACTAAACAAAGCGCACTGGGGGAGGCAAAGCACTTAGCAGCCCGCAAGGTAACTGGATGTTTAACAAGGAGGGGGAGAGAGAGGTGATGCGTTCCTTCAGTCCCCCTGGCATATCTCCCACCTTCACACTCTTTTTTTGAAACCATGATAAAACCACAAGGATTCCCACTTTGCTCCCCTACTTTCCTCTGGCCTTCCTAACTCCTTTCTTACCCCGTTTTCCCCTCTCGCTTTCGGATTGGCCCCTCTGCACAGAATCTTTTATTTTCAGCTACTTTTAAGGTAATTCCATTGCAGCAGGAAGACACCCCATGTCTTCTTCCTTCATTCCCGAGCCCCGGGACCCAGGTCCCTCCTGGGCTCCTTGGAGCTGGGACCTTCCCCTCTGAGCTCAGCAGCCCAGGCTGTGCGGATGATCTGTTTCGTGAGTCCTCCAGTGCGCTGGCCTCCCCATGACGCCAGTCTGCTCCTCTTCCCGCCCCCCCCCCATAACGCCTCGTCCCCGAAGAAACCTAAACTCCGTGGCCTCTGAAACTGTCTGTGCCTGGGTTCCCAAGATCTCCGCCAGGATCCAAGATTTCTCTGACCAAAGTGGGGTCGGGCCGGGGAAGACAGTACCTCTTTGCAGGCGTGAAGCTCCGGTCCCGCTCCCTGGGTCACCTGGAAGGCGGTCCCAACCCAGAGCAGCAGCCGCAGAAGCCGGAGTGTGCGCCGCTCAGTTCGTCCCCTGCCTCGGGCAGCGGGATGGAGGCTGCGCCCCGGCTCAGCCATAGCGTCGTCCTGAGCGAGCGCCAGCAGCGGCTCAGGTGCTGCGGCCGCGGCTACTGCTGGCAGAGGGCGGAAAAAAAGGGGAGGGAGGTTCACAGGGGGAGGATGCAAGGGGCTGGGCTCGCTTCAGTCACCTCCCTGCGGCTACGCCGAGGCCGCCCATCCTTCCTCCTCCCTCCTTCTCCTTCCTCTTCTCCTCCTACCCACGTCGCCTTGGCAACCGCCTCCTCTTTCCCTCCGCGCGGATGGGTCAGGGACCACGCGCGCCTCTGCCGCTTACCTGCCGGTCGCCATGGCAGCCGCAGCCGCTGGCGCGCGCCGCGTGTAACTGCGCGCGCCCGGGGTCTGCAACCGGCCCAACAGGCGGGCACAGGGGTCGTGTAAAGAACGCAGTAGAAGCATCCTCCAAGCCAACGCCACCAAATTCACGTTTTCCATTGCTCTTTCGGGTCATGGGCCATTTATGAGCATCTCTAATTTTGCAGGCGTGGCGTTCGACAATACTTATTTAGCACCTCCTTTGTGCGCAGCGATAGAAGGAAGATTGAGACGCCGTCTCACCTCCAGAAGTTACAGCCTGGAAGAGTGGCCCCGGTAGATGTTACCTACCGCAACAGCCGCTTCTGGAGATCTTACTTCCATCCCGCCAAATCCACCCGTGCCTTTACAAACGGCTCTATGCGAAGCCTTAAGACCGGCATAGTTAAACCGAGTTTAGGCAAGGAGGGTTTGCGTTAGCCTGCAATTTTCCAAGCACGACACCTGGGCTCTTCCGTCTCTTAACATCCTCATTCTCTCGTTGCTTTGAAAAATTCTTTCGTTAGATGCGAGGGGGAAGGAAATTCCTGGGCCATCTTTTAGGACTTCTTTACTCAGCTGAAGTCTTTTGTAGAAGTCCTGCACGCCGGGAGGCCGACGTTTTTCAACTAAGGCTCCCAAGGGCAAATGCAGGGCTCCCCGGTACGCTCGATGGCGCTTTCCCCTCTGCGTTCCCCGGAGCTTCCTTCCGAGGGGTCTCCCGCGCTGGACCGCCAGGTGGCGCCCTTCTCGAAGGGAATCCACCTCAGTCACAGATGGCGGGAGAGTTGCCGGGCAACCGAAACTGGGCGTTCCAAACAATTGGGACCCGGGATCCTTCGCGTGCGTCGTGTGCGGCTGCGCGGGCTTCCCATCCCTCACACCGGCGGCTCACTCCGCATTTTACCATGCCTTTCACCCGAGACCCCTTCCAGCACCCTACGTTGGATAACGATGATACCTTCCTGGGAAAACTCCGGGCTTCCAAGGTACTGTGCTTTCTGGCGTAGATTCCCACCAAGGTCGAGGGCACTCTTCTTTCTGTTGGCGTGATGGGCAGAGATGGTAACTTAAAGCGCTCTGGTGAGGACACTGACTCAGGTACCGGAGAAGTTTGTTTTCTGGCTGCCTCCTTGGCTCCATATTCAGATCCGCTAACGTTTCAGAGATGCTTTTGAGGAGAGGGAAGTTGAGCTCTAGCCCAGAGGAACAAGGGGCTCTCGCTGCGCAAAGCGATGCTTGGTATAATGTGGATTAATCAGGCCCAGGTCCCACCAAGCCACCCTTTGCCCTGTTTGGAAACCTGTTCTCTGAAAAGATATGAGATATAGAATGGGAGAGAATGGTCTGGAAGCCACCTGATCATGCTTTATACATCTGCCCTCACACCACCTCTGTCTTTTGGTTAATGCTGGAATGTGTTTTTGTATGTGTGTCAGCGATTTGAGGAATTTAGATGATCTTTTTTTTCTGGCAGAAGTATTTGGGATGCTTGAAATGGTGCAAAATAAGGTGAATTCAATAGTAATTGTGGCTTGATAAAAGAATCAAAGAGCTTCCTTTTGTTTATTCAACATTTATCATTTACTATATGCCGGGCACTCTGCCCAACACTGAGGATGTAGAGAGGAGTTAGATATGGCTCCTGCTTTAGAGAAACTCTAGTAGAAAAGCTGACAACAGTAGCAGCAAAAATGCTCGCACAATAGCATATGTGTTGTGACAGAGTTATACATCATGTGTCAGGAGAACCGGGAGCTTAAAGGAAAGCTTCCCAGAGCAGGTGAGTTTTCACATCCGAATATGAGTTAGCTGGGCCAGGTGAGGGAGGAGGTGGAATGTGAGTTAGAAAGAAGGAAACAAGAGCCAGACATTCAAGGCACGGCGGCAGCAGGTGCACATACATGGAAAGGAGAGAAAGAGTGGCCTGTTTGGGGCCAAAGAGTCCAGAATGGCTGGAGCATCAATGTGAGATGGAGGAGGGGAGAGGGCAGAAGCTGGAGTCACCTTGTTGGGCTGGGTGTGCTGTGTAAACCATGCTAGTGAGCTAGGATTCTATCCTGGAGATGCTGGGGGATCATGTCAGGATTTTAAGCACTAGAGTGACACAATCAATGGGTGTCTTAGAAAGCACAATGGCAGTAGATTGGAGAGAACGGGAGTGGGGACAAGAGGAATCAGCAAGGAAGCAGGAGCCTCAGAGGGCAGCAATCTCCAGGAGAAATAATGGATCTAAAGCAGGGGATGGCAATGAGGGGTAGATGTGAAAAAGTTGCCAAGGGCAGGACTGATGAAACTGATATGGGCCCAAGAGAAGGGACAAGTCTAGGATAGCTCCTAGGTTTCCGAGGGCTTGATTGATACCATTTACTGAATGGAGGCATCCAGGGGGAAGCAGGTTTGGGAGAAAGATGTTCAGATCAGTTATGTAGATGTTGCTTTTGTGGTGCCTGTGGGACATTTAAGTGGAGATGAGTAGCAGGCAACATGGTTGAGAGTTCTAGGTTGAAGATGTATATCTGGAAGCCGCAGTACCCATGTGGTGGTCGAAGCCATAGGAAGGAATAAGCTCATCCAGTGAATGAGAATACGAAAAACGGAAACGAAACCCCTGGAGAATGCACTGTCTAAGGGGCAGAGGGAGAAAGTAGAGCTGACAAGGGAGCTGAGCAGTAACAGCTAGAGGCAGGAGGAAAACCAGGAGGAGTTGGACCCACAGAGCATGGAGAGAACATTTGAGAGAATCAGAATCATGGTGCCAGAAAATGCAGAGATCAAATAAGATCGGGTCTGGAAAAGATCCACCTAACCTAGCTTAAATAAAGATCATTGGTCACCAGCAAGAGAAGTTTCAGTGCTTGCTTGAGAAAGAGGCCAGACTGTAGTGGCTAAAGAGGGGACGGAAAGGGGGGAGAAATGAAGATAGTAAATGCTGACTCTTGAAGTCTAGTTCTGCAGGGAAGGTGATAGAGTGGTAGTGCGACAGTCATAAAGGAATGAGAGAGAAGCTGGGTATAGGGGATGGATGCCAGGATGGTGTCCGTCTCTGAAACACAGGGAAAGGCTAGGTTCAGGGAAGAAAGGTTATTCTTTTTATTAGTGCTTTTGAAGTGTAGTTGACATGCAGTGTTCTATTCATTTCAGGCGTACAGCATAGCGATTTGACAATCCTATACTCTGTTCACCACAGTACGTGTAGTCAACAGCTGTCTTCCCGATGCTGCATTTTTCATGCCTGTGACTAATTTATTTTATAATTGGAAGTTTGCCTCTCTTAATTTCTTCACCTATTTCACCCATCTCTCCACCCACCTTCCTTCTGGCAACCATTAGTTTGTCTTCTGCATTTATGGGTCTGTTTCTGCTTTTGTTTGTTTCATTTTGTTTTTCAAGTTTCCACATATAAGTGAAATAATATGGTATTGGTCTCTCTTTGTCTGACTTATTTCACTTAGCAAATACCCTCTAGCTCCATCCATGTGGTCGAAAATGGCAAGATTTTTCTTTTTTATGGCTGAGTAATATTCCATTGTGGATAGATAGATAAATGAACGGGTAAAGAATGAAGCAATACATAGGTATATATAGATATCACATTTTCTTCATCCATTCATCTATCAATGGGCGCTTTTGTTGCTTCCATATCTTGGCTATTGTAAATAATCCTGCAGTAAATATAATGCATATATCTTTTTGAATTAGTGTTTTCATTTTCTTTGGGTAAATACCTAGTAGTGGAATTACTGGATCGTATGGCATTTCTATTTTTCATTTTTTTCAGGAGCCTCTATACTGTTTTCCCCAATGGCTGCACCAATTTACACGCTCCCTTTTCTCCACGTCCTCCCAGTACTTGTTATTTCTTGTCTTTTTGATACTAGCCATTCTGACGGGTGTGAGGTGATACCTCATTGTTGTTTTGGTTTGCATTTCCCTGATGATCAGTGATGTTGAGCATCTTTTCATGTGTCTGTTGGCCATTTCTATGTCCTCTTTGGAAAAATGTCTATGCATTTTTTAATCAGATTGGTTTTTTTGGTGTTGTGTTTTATAAGTTCTTTATATATTTTGGATATTAATTCCTTATCAGATATATCATTTGAAAGTATCTTCTCCCATTCAGTAGGTTATATTTTCATTTTGTTGATGGCTTCCTTTGTGCAAAAACTTTTTATTTTGGTGTATTCTCAATAGTTTATTTCTGCTTTTGTTTCCCTTCCCTGAGGAGATATATCCATAAATATGCTGATAAGGCTAATGTCTAAGAAATTATTGCCTATGTTTTCTTTTAGGAACTTTATGGTTTCAGTTCTCACATTTAGGTCTTTAACCCATTTTCATTTTGTATTTGTGTATGGTGTAAGAAAGTGACCCAATTTCATTGTTTTACATGAAGCTGCCCAGTTTTCCCAGCACCATTTATCAAAGAAACTGTCTTTTCCCCATTGTATATTCTTGTGTCCTTTTTCATAGATAAATTGACCATATAAGCATGGGTTTATTTCTGGGCTCTTTATCCTGTTCCACTGATCTATGTGTCTAATTTTGTACCAGTACTATATTGGGTTTTTTTTTTCCAGTTTATGTATTTGTTTTAGCAATCTCTACACCCAACGTAGGGCTCGAACTCATGACCCCAAAATCAAGAGTTGCATGCTCTCCCAACCAAGCCAGCCAGATGCCCCAAGTACTATATTGTTTTGATTACTATAGTTTTGTACTATATCTTGGAATCTGGGATTGTGGTACCTCCAGCTTTTTTCTTTCTCAAGGTTGCTTTGATATTCAAAGTCTTTTGTGGTTCCATAAATTTTAGGATTATTTTTTCTAGTCCTGTGAAAAATGCTGTTGGTATTTTGTTGGGGATTGCACTGAATCTGTAGATTGCTTTGGGTAGTATGGACATTTTAACAATATTAATTCTTTCAATATCATGAGCATGATATATCTTTCCATTTGTGCTGTCTTCAGTTTCTTTCATCAGTGTCTTATAATTTTCAGAGAATAGGTCTTTCACTGCCTTGGTTAAATTTATTCCTAGATATTTTATTATTTTTGGTGCAATTGTAAATGCAATTGTTTTCAACTTGTCTATCTGCTACTTTGTTATTGATATATAGAAACACAACAGATTTCTTTATATTAATTTTGTATTCTGCAACTTTAGGGAATTCATTTATTAGTTCTAATAGTTTTTTGGTAGTCTATAGGATTTTCTATATATAGTATCATGTCATGTGCAAATAGTGAGAGTTTTACTTCTTCCTTACCAATTTGTATGCCTTTATTCCTTTTTCTTGTCTGATTGCTGTAGCTAAGACTTCCAGTACTATGTTGAATAAAAGTGGTGAGCATAGACATCCTTGTTTTGTTCCTGAACTTAGAAGAAAATCTTTCAGTTTTTCACCATTGAAATTGATGTTAGCTGTGGGTTCTCATGTTTACCTTTATTGTCTTGAGATACGTTCCTCTAAACCACTTGTTGAGATTTTTTTTATAATAAACAGATGTTGTACTTTGTCAAATGCTTTTTCTGCATCTATTGAGATGATCATATGGTTTTTATCATTCCTCTTGTTAATGTGATGTATCACATTGATTTGTGAATACTGACCCACCCTTGCATTGCCGGAATAAATCCCACTTGATCATAGTGAATGATCCTTCAATGTATTATTTAATTTGATGTACTAATATTTTGTTGAAGATTTTTACATCTGTTGTTCATCAGGGATATTGGCTTGTAGTTTTCTTTCATTCATAGTGTCTGTCTGATTTTGGTATCAGGGTAATGCTGGCCTTGTAAAATTAATTTGGAAGTTTTCCTTCCTCTTCTATTTTTTGGAATAGTTTGAAAAGAATAGGTATTAACTCTTCTTTAAATGTTTGGTAGAATTCACTTGTGAAGCTATCTGGTCCTGCACTTTTGTTAGTTGGAAGTTTTTTTTATTACCATTTCAATTTTGTTACTAGTAATTGGTCTGTTCAAATTTTCTATTTCTTCTTGATTTAGTTTTGGAAGATTCTATGTTTCCAGGAATTTATCCATTTTTCTAGATTATCCAATTTGTTGGAATATAATTTTTCATAGTATTTTGTTATAATTCTTTGTGTTTCTGTGATGTTGGTTATTATTTCTCCTCCTTCATTTCTGATTTTATTTAAGTCTTTGCTCTCTCTCTCTTTTTCCTGATGGGTCTGGCTAAAGGTTTATCAATTTTTTGTTTTCCGAGAACCAGCTCTTGGTTTCATTTGGTTTCCTTGGTCTGTATGTGTGTTTTAGTCTCTCATTTATTTCTGCTCAGATCTTTATTATTTCCTTCCTTCTACTAATTTTGTTGGTTCTTTGGTAGGCTTTGTTTGTTCTTTTTTTCTAGTTTCTTTAAGTATAAGATTAGATTGAGATTTTTCTTGTTTCTTGAGGTAGGCCTGTATCGCTATAAAATTCCCTCTTACAACTCTGACTTTTTTTTTTTTTTTAAAGATTTTACTTATTTGTCAGAAAGAGAGAGAGAGACAGAGCACAAGAAGGGGGAGCAACAGGCAGAGGGAGAAGCAGGCTTCCTGCCCAATGCAGGAGTCGATCCCAGGACCCTGGGATCATGACCTGAATCAAAGGCAGACGCTTAACTGACTGAGCCACCCAGGTGTCCCACAACTCTCAAAGACTTTGGACAGACAATTGTGTTTTCATTTTCATTTTCTCTATTTTTTTTATTTCCTCTGATTTCTTAGTTGACCCATTGGTTGCTTAGTAGCATGTTGTTTAGCCTCGTGTGTTTGTGTTTTCCAGGGTTTTTTCCCCCTAATTGATTTCTAGTTTCATACCATTGTGGTTGGAAGAGTTGCTTGATGTGATTTCAGTCTTCTTAAATTTATTGAGACTTGTTTTGTGGCCTGACATGTGATCTGTCCTGGAGAATGCTCCATGTGCTCTTGAAAAGAATGTGTAATCTAGTGCTTTGGATGGAATGTTGTGTGTGTGTGTGTGTGTGTGTGTATGTTGGGTCCATCTGACCTAATGCATCGTTCAAAGCCATCATTTCCTTGTTAGTTTTGTCTTGATGGTTTTGTTTTGTTTTGTTTTTTAAGATTTTTTTTTTTAAATGCGTTTCCTTTTTTTTTTTTTTTGAAGATTTTATCTATTTATTTGAGAGAGAGAATGAGAGAGAGAGAGAGAGAGCATGAGAGGGGGGAGGGTCAGAAGGAGAAGCAGACTCCCTGCTGAGCAGGGAGCCCGATGCGGGGCTCCATCCTGGGACTCCAGGATCATGACCTGAGCTGAAGGCAGTCGCTTAACCAACTGAGCCACCCAGGCGCCCCGTTTTTTAAGATTTTATTTATTTATGTGACACAGAGAGATATAGTGAAAGAGGGAACACAAACAGGGGGAGTGGGAGAGGGAGAAGCAGGTTTCCCGCAGAGCAGGGAGCCTGATGGGGGCTCAATCCCAGCACCCTGGGATCATGACCTGAGCCGAAGTCAGACGCTTAATGACCGAGCCACCCAGGTACCCTGGATGGTTTATCCATTGATGTAAGTGGGTGTTAAAGTCCCCTAGTATTGGTGTATTACTGTCAGTTTCTTCCTTTATGTCTATTAATATTAGCTTTGCCTCGGTGATAGACATTGGGGAGGGTATGTGCCATGGTGAGTGCTGTGAATTGTGTAAGACTGTTGAATCACAGACCTGTACCTCAGAAACAAATAATACATTATATGTTAAAAAAACAAAGGAAGAAGAAGAAGATAGGAGGGGAAGAATGAAGGGGGGGAAACCAGAGGGGGAGACGAACCATGCGAGACTATGGACTCTGAGAAACAAACTGAGGGTTCTAGAGGGGAGGGGGTGGGGGGATGGGTTAGCCTGGTGATGGGTATTAAGGAGGGCACGTTCTGCATGGAGCACTGGGTGTTATACACAAACAGTCATGGAACACTACATCAAAAACTAATGATGTAATGTATGGTGATTAACATAATAATAAAAAATATTTGCTTTATGTATTTAGGTCCTCCTACTTTGGGTACATAGATATTCACAATTATGATATCCTCTTGTTGGATTGACGCCTCTATCACTATGTAGAGCCCTTATTTGACTCTTGCTACAGTCTTTGTTTTAAAGTTTGTCTAATATAAGCGTTGCTACCTGGTTGTTTTTTTTTTTTTTTTTTTGCTTCCATTTGAATGGAATATCTTTTTCCATTCACAAGGGTTATCCTTGAGTGAAAGGTACATCCCTTTCTTTGAGATGGAAGGACATTGGATGTGAGGATGGTATTCATGGTTGACAGTCCTGACTTTCTCAATGAAAGACAGTCTCATCCTTCTGCTGAATGAGGACATGATGAGGCTTATGTAGACTTTAAGGAATGTGAGGAGAGCTGCCTATGCTTGCATCATATATTTGTAGTTTTCTTGTTTCATTTGTCATCTTTTTTGGTGATAGCCCACTGTTTGGTACGTACTATTTAATTAATGTCTAACTGACCTGAGTTACACAGCACTTCCATGTATAGTGGGGAGGGGGGTTCCAACACTGGATAGGTTGAATTCGATTTCTACTAGGTTGAAGCTGTACTCACTGGAATTCAGTCATTATTCAAACAGTATTTCATTTTTGAACACCATGTGTTAAGTCGTGGTGCTAGGTACTGGAATACAGTGAACAATATGGCATTTTACATTAAATGACAAAATCAGTTAGGTCCTTTTCACGTTCATGCTGATGGGGTTCTATTTAGAAGACTGTCTAAGTGTACTAAGTGTCTACGTGACTGTCCAGTGTACTTTTTCTTTGACACTTCTGCAGTCACAATGACCCTTCCCTGCTTACTGCAATCTTTTTCTCTTCCTGCTTAGACACTGCACTCTCCTGATTCTTCTCTTGACTACCTTAGTGTCCTTTCTCTTTCCTCCCCCCTCCCCGTTATAATGTGCAATCATGAGCCCTTTTGGCCACACTCCTTTTTGTAGATGTCAGCCACTACTTCAAGTGGATGACCTCCAGACCTCTATTACTTATTCTGAGCTATCCTCCAAGTTGCACACTTCTCATTTTCCAACTGTTGACTGCATTTAGACAATTTACCTTTTCTTCAAATTCAGTACGTCTAAACCTGAACTCATCATCTTTCTTTCTTCTCTGCATTCTTCACCCCATCCCACTCCACCCCTTTTCCTGTATTCCTGGCCTACTTCTGTCAGTTCTAAGATTGAAAACTTAGGAGCATCAAAAGCCTGGGAGTCTTGCTTCATATGGTTCTTCCCTTTGAAGATATCCCTCTGAGGTTCAGTTAAAATAGAACTGAATAAGGAGATGGATGTCGCTAAAGCTTTCACATCAGCAAGGCCTCCTGTAACCAGGTCCTGCGTGTGGTTTCTCTTTTGCAGAAACTGCCATATAAGAACCCAGCTCACCTTGCTCAGCAACAGCAACCCTGGAGTCGGCTCAGCTCAACTCCCACAATCACCTCCATGAGGCGGGATGTTTCTTTTTTTGATCCTGAGGTACCTAGCATTGAAATGCTATTTCTCTTTAATCTGCTTAAAACTCATATCTTTTTTGAAAGGTAGTCTGTCCTTCATGGCATCAGCATCTTTATTTTGTCCCCAGCCCAAGGTCCTACCAAATCTAAAACCTAACACCAATTTATCTGGGCTCTGGGGAGTCAGAAGGCTTGTTTTGCTCCAGTTGACTATATGGAGCAAATCATTTTCTCACCAGACTTTTCACTCTTCTGATTATAACCATAAATGAGGTAAGGCCCATTAAGCCCAGTGAAGAACAATATGATTTCTGTATCTCCTGTGAGAGCTCACCCCTCATTATACTGACAAGAGTTAAAATGTCTTTGGTATTTAAGGAGTACAGGCCCAAAAGGGGTTTATTCCCCTTTTGGGGAAAAAGTAGAGCCCAAGAGAACATGACTAGAGTTTGGGTAAAGGTAGCAAGTTAACCCTGGGGGGACTGACTTCCTCCGTAGATACCAAAGGATGACCTGGATTTCTGCTTAGCAGCCTTGTACAACCACCACACAGGGACATTCAAGAACAAAAGTGAGATACTCTTACACCAGGAGACCACCCAGGATACCCATGGGTAAGTGGTGGAGGCAGAGCCTCTCCACCCTAAAGACAATGCCATCCAGTCATGTAAGGTAAAGTGTCACCTGGGAAATAACAAAGATAATCAACAGGAACTCATTTGTATACACATTTCTGTGCTTTTTACATCTGTATCTATAATGCAATTTCTGTATTTTTATTAACTAAAACAAACAGAGATCCTCCAGCATTATGATCTGTATAAACAAAATCTTCAGTTAATTCCCAGAGGGTAGAAAGGGCCTTTGGCTGCATTATTTCTGAGGCTGCATGCAACTATCTTGCCCTCCTCTCCTTTCTTCTTCTGATTGATTTCACTCTCCCTGTTCTTCCCCATACCATCTTCTAGAATCATCAAGACCCAATTCCCTGGAGAACTTTTACCCCCTCCTCCGCCACCTTCCATCACTTCCCGAGCTAACATCAGACACTGGATCAACCCTAAGAAGGAGTCTGTCCACAGCATCCAGGGATCCATAGGTAAGGGTTAGAAGACTGGATGGGCAGATGGGTGGTACAAGAGTTTTTTAAAATTGACCTAGGAATCAGGGAGTTGAGGTGATTGGTCATTAGGGAACTTCAGGGATAACTGAAGGTCTTGGAATAACAGTGACTAAGTGGGCACATTATCAGAATACCAGAGGACATACTGCCTAAAGCTAGGAAATGAATTCACTCATTTTTCAGAGCTTTTAACTCAGCTTAGGTCTAGCAGACAAAAGGTCTAGCAACGGGCAGAAACCTGGGAGTGGAAGACCTATAGCTATCTCCCATCAGTCCTCTCTATAGGCCAGTTTCCTCAGCAATACAAGAACCTCCACAATACCCAGAAATGTATGGATGATTACAGGTTCCCAGAAAAGGCAAAGGATTTGAAATTCACAGCCTACCCCGTTCTCTTTTCTCCACAGTGTCCCCTCACACTGCAGCCACCAATGGAGGCTACTCCCGAAAGAATGATGGTGGCTTCTTCTCTACCTAATGTTGACAGGTCCCTGGACTAAATTAATCATAATGGAACATCCTGCTGCCCACCTCCATTAAATAGAATTGTGCTGGATGAAGCCTCAAGTGTGTTACCCATGGACTTAAGAGTTGGCACTTGACTGCTCTTAAAATGTGGGAGGGAAGTTTTCCAACTTCTAGAAACTAGTCCTGCTGGACATATTTGCAATTTGGAAAGTCATCTTGCTGAAAAGCTAAGGATTTAGAACAAAACAGCACATGGGGCACCTTTGTGGCTCAGTTGGTTAACCATCTGACTCTTGGTCTCAGCTCAGGTCTTAGGTCTCGGGTCGACTTTAGGCCCCACATTGGGCTGGGTGTGGAGCCTACTTAAAAAAGCAAAACAAAAAACAGTACTGTGTTTGGCAGGGGACAGGTATTCATATTTTGTAAACTGGACTCATTCCAAACATAGAAATATCCATTCAACATTTCTTGCAAACTTGTATGTCAGCCACTGAGCTAAGTGTTGGGGAAACAAGAGTGGACATAGCTCATTCTCTTAATGAGCTTACCACACCATAATTCTGGTAACTCTATGTAGCGTTAACGTTTATGCTGAGGTCACACTTAACATATTTCAGACCTTCCGGTTTTAGTCATCTGCTGGGCTCTACTTTTCCATAAGGGTTCCATCTTCCTGGACCTGGCTCCTTGCCACTGTTCATTCTCTTATTTTGCTATCTTCTTGCCTGGGAGTCCATTCCTTTTTGTCAGTTTGTGCTGTGAAATACAGCTCTTGATTCTTATAAATGTGGTTCAACAACCTGGTGCTTGGGCTTGAAGGTACCTAAAAACATGCATTAATGTGGTTTCTAAAATTATAAGTCACTCAGGGGAACCTGCTGTTAGATTGGGCAAGAAATTGCAGATCTTTCATAATATTGCAGGGTAAATTCCCATTTCTAAGTTTGGACAGCATATGCATTGTTGAATAATTCAGAGATGAAAGAGCTTCTTCCTGTTACTCAGGTACAGGGTCCTTAAATTCCATCAAACTATCGCAGTCCCTCTTCCACAGAGATACTCCAACCTATTCAGATAGTATCTGCTGCCAAGTGGCAATATCAAATTTCAGTTCTCATTATTTAGAATGGCTGAAAGTGACAGAGAGGGGTGACTCTCTGGCTAATCATCTCATGCAGGTTGATACTAAATATTAAAAAATTTATTACCGTGACCCATATACATCGATGCTTTTAAAAATAGACTCACAGACTGCCCTAATAATTCTAATTCAGTAAACCTGGGGCGGGTCCCTGGAATCTTAACTCTTATAAGCTCTGCAAGTTCTCTTATGGAGAAATATATATATATATAACGCATATATATATATATACACACACACGTATAACCTTTAGCAGCAGACGCTGTACGGGGGGGCACCAGTGTTAGTACCACACAAAGGGCCATCACACGTCGGGCCTAAACGAAAAAAGGGAAGAGACTAAGGAAAAACACTGCAGCAGCAAACAAGGCTTCCGTGCCCTTCCTGCTCCCGCGGTTCGGGCGACGGCTCCTTCACCCCCGCTTTCGCCCCCCAACGCCGGGGCCCGCCGCCAACTGCTAACGCTTAGCCGCGCCCCGGGGCCGGGCTCAGATCAGAATCGCCTCGATAATCATTGGCCCGGGACAAGCCCGGCCTCGTCTATCTGATCAATTCATCACTTCTGAGCGCCGGGCCCCGTAAGACCGGCTCCGGGACCGCGGCGTTACCGCCGCCCAAGGGGCCTCGCTGCACAGCGCCCCGATGAAGGGGCTTCGCAGGAGGATAACTTTTCATCTCGGGTCGGCCCGGCGGGGCTAGGGTCACAACCCGATCAAATAAGATCAAGGTGTAGGCGGGGGGAGGGGCTCAGGGACGGGCACACGCACTCGCCTTGCACGCCCCATGCGCACACTCCCACATTCGCGCGTCCACTCACTCAGCCCACACGCGCTTCCACGCAGCATCGCACCACAACACAGACCACCCTCGCCCCAGGCCGCTCTCCCTCTGGGAAGAAAGCGGATGTCCGCACCCTCTTTTAAATTCCTCCGCCCCCTCCTCTGCCTCGGAGGGTTCTGGGAAGAACCACTGAGCACAGGCTCTCGGCCGGCATGCGCTTTGCTGCCCCCGCGTGGCTCGGAGGCGAACCCAGGTGCCGGAGAAAAGCTGAACAAATTTGCGCCATACTAAATCGTGCTTGTCTTAATGATCTTTGTGCAGGGACATATTTATATCCGTATCTGTAGTTTTCCTTTGATCTTTGACCCGAGTTTTTGTCCCAACTTCTGAATATAAGATGATTCAGTCTTAGGAGATTTATAGGTGACTGCTTTCCCATGGAGAAGGCAAATCCTGGTCATTAACCAGTATCAGCTTCCCCAGGAGCTCCTTCCCCCAGGGGAGACGGAAACCATTTTACCAAAGGGAAAGGTGAGAATAGATTATTTAAAACCAATGTCTTGGTAGTCAGGATAACTGTGAAATGAATAGAGGTAGGAAGGCATATCCCTGTCATTTACAAGAGCCCCCTGGCTACCGAGAACTTGATGCTATGGCAGTCATATTGCTGAACCTTCACTTACTTTCAACTTTCGAACTCCCCAGTGAGTAGTGAAAAAAAAGTAGTGATTATATAATGAGAATTAGCTCCTTTCACATCAGGGAACGCAATTTTAATGTCTCAGTTTCTTCTTTCTCCTTCTTCAATGAAAAAGGTGTATGTGTGGGTAAATCAGAAGAACTTGGTGAATTTATAATTTGTAACTGCCAGTTCCACCACACACTTGAAATAAACAAATAGGGGGAAATATCCATTTATGTGCCGGAATCCCATTGGCTGAAGGATTTTCTAGGTGCATGGCTGGTTAACCTCATTTCAATGAAGACGTTTATGGCTGGTAATGGCAGATAATATTTGTATTTTAATAGCAGTGGTAGATAAAATGTATTGAGTGTTATCTGCCTTACTTAACATACCTCAAAACTTATTGGTATATACATGCTTATATATATAAGCTGATACATGTTATCAGCTCCCTCAAAGGAGAAAACTACACCTTCATAAATTCTGAACTATCATATATTTGGTGACCATCACAAGGGGTCAACAAGAATAATGATATTCACTAATGTAAACTAAAAAGGTATACTTGGGTAGAACCAAGGGAAGTACTGAACAAAGTTCAATGAATTGATCATGTGACAAATAAGTGGACAAAAATGGTAGGGAAAGAAATTTTATTTTCAAGGATTTGTGCAGACAATGGTGAATAAAAAACTGTATTAAACTATAAAAGGCTGACTTCATTCCACCCTGGCATTCAGGGTTTATGGTGATGCCAGTTTGAATCTGAGGCAATACTGCTATCCCCCTTCCTCCACCCCTAAAAAACTCCCTCAGAGGAACAACTTCCTACCATTTTCAGTTGAAAAACATATGACACATCAACCAAAGTAATGAGTTAAACAGCCTTCTGCTTATCTGCTTACATAAAGGCAAGAAATGAAATAAGCTGTGTATTTGTTTCTTGCTGTAAATTACCTTCATTCTGTGCACTTTTTGGTACATTCTCGTAGGAAAACATCTCAAAATATAACAATTTAGGTCAAGATGACTCACCCGGGAGGCTGTAAAAATTGGTTTGAACAACTAGAACTGTGAAGTGAAGCAGCTCTCACCAAGCTTAGAGACATTAGCCCTACTGGAAAACAAGTCATTAAAGCTACAAAGTAACAAGTGCAAAACATGCTGAACCTTTATTTCCAGGGAATAACGTTCCTGCTGGTCAACAGGTCCCAAACACACCTACAAGGTGTAACTCTTCCTTTCTGTTCCAATAGATGTCCTTTCCCTTGTGTGAAAGATCCTCAGAAGTGACAATCGAAAACATATAAATCATTGAAATTTACCCTGCAGGCCAATTCTTGAAGAGACAAAAAAGCCACAACTCTGAGATGATTAGACATGTAGTGTTTACTTGAGGACTTTTTACACCTTTAGAGAAACCCTCAAAGCACTAAACTGTCTATATCAGAACCTAAACTTCCTAGCAGCTTTTCTTTGGGGAAAAGACAAAAAGACAATTTCCTGCCACACAGGGGTCAACCACAACTAACTTGTCCACCGCCAAGTTTTACTGTAACGGACAATTCAATTTGTTCCTATGTTGATGCCTGCTCTTTACAATAATTTTAGGCCAACACTCTCTCTTTTTAAATGGAGAATTCTTCCCTCCAAATGTTGAGTCATCTAAAATGATTTGTGTAAGAATTACCATATCCATAGAAAAGCCCAGTAATCTCCATTGCAAACATGTTTTCCTTTACTTTAGAAAACACCCTCATTTTATTCGTGGATTCTGTGAACTTTCCAAACATGCCCATGAATATCAGCAACTTCTCTCACTCATTTGAATTTATCATGTTCTTATAATACAAAGAACTTCCAAGAGATAGCTAGAGTACTGCAATATGCGGAAAACTAAGAGTTGCCCAAGAAAAACAAGTGATCAATTAAAAATTGCCATAAAAATCCAGACTCAAACACAGAATAAGGTTGTGTCTTGGATAACATGACAAAACGTCCATCTAACATAACAATAAATTCTTATACTAGTTGACTTTACTAGTGTATGAATTATATACTAGATTTCTTTTACCCTAACTGCAAATATATTAAAAATTATTTCTTCAATACTTTCTCTTTCCCCTAGTGGTGGCATTTAAGGCTGAGTAACACTATTTAGCACTCAGTAATTTAGAGTATATAAAAAGGCTTTAGGAAAATTGCAACAATGGATTCATTTTCCATATACCATTTGATGGGATGAAGTCTCCTTTGGGGGATACTGGTGAACAGAACATTTTTCCTTACCTAAGTTACTGCTTCTGGTCTCATCATGGACAGTTAATTCCCAAATCTTACGTAGACCCAGGTTTTCTTGGCAAACTCTTGAGCTACCAGCACACAGCACAGCTATTTCATCTGTCCTCTGTTTGCAGTGAGGACCATGCCTCTCTCTTATGTCCCCAGATGGGTATATGAAAGAGAAATTTCCAAAGCCAAAAAATTTCCTTGGCATTGTATAACTCCTGTTCCTCCCTTCTCCACCCCACCCACTCACCCCCGCCCCCACCAACTTGCCAAATCCAAATCAAACAGTGAAAAAAAAAAAAGTCCAAGACTTGAAAATTCTCTCTCCTTCCAAGAGGTGTGAATACAGCTTATGTTGTTCCCTAATGAGCCTCAGTTTGAAGAGATTCTGATGATGGGCTGAAGAACAGAATAGGTGACAGGTTTTTATGTAGGAGGTATGTAATCTTATCACCGTGGGGTATTAATTTATCTGGACATTATATGCTCTCTGCTGAGGACTGATTCACACACAGAGCAAAGGAAGTTGGCCTTCTGGAGTCCCCTGAAGCATAAATAATGTTTGTAACCATGAGGAATTTTCCCCATATATGGCAGGGGTAGATGCTGTGGTGTCATCTTGGGGACTCTGATGATTTTAGCTGAGCTCTCTTACGCTGGGCCCAGGCCCCGGACAGTTTCTTCACCCTCATCCTCTTGGTTGGCAGCTGATGAGACGGATGCTTTGGAATTCATTTTACAAACAGGACGTAAAAGGCCATTACAACACAGGCAATTGCCACAGCAGCATGCAGCCTGGTTCCAATCACAGCGGCTGGCAGACAAAAGTAAAAAGAGAAAAGAAATCACACCCTGCCTTTCATTTAAGTCCTCACTTTCAAGGTGGTATTTTGAAATCTCTAGTCACAACAAAGAGACCTATCAAGGTTCTCAGGAACCCACCCGGGGATACATTTAAATACTATCCTTAAGCTCTAGGTTCTAGGTGAATATACTGTTTGTATTTTGCTCTATTTTGAAAAAAGATTTAGGTAGGTAGGACTTACCCTTAATAAAAAGTAAAAAAAAGCATCTGAGTTAATGAAACTTAAAAAGAGACTCCAATATATTCTTTCCAGAAATTCAGAAAAACTTTTCATTGGGAAACTATTCCAACAGTTCTAGTCCAGTCTAAATGGCTTTAATTTAAATACTTTTACTCCATGGTGAATATTAAAATTACCTGGATGCTAAAATAAATGATTATGTAAAAGTGGAACCAAATGCAATGCCAGCCTGTCCCACCCGCTACACTTTGTAGCACCCCACTCTCCAGAGATGGCCATCTCCTCTCCCTGTCCAGAGATGATCATACCTTTGTAAAACACACCCCAAACTCCCTTCTTCTCTGAGAGCAGCCAGGTTTTGAGACGAGGTACTTTCTTGAAGTAAGCACAGGTGCAAACAAAGAGCAAACCAAACACCAGAATCCCATCCAAGGAGTACACTGTTACAGAAAGAAAAACAAACACACACACATCTTTGGTACTAATTTAGCTTGTGATCCCATTTGGAACTCCAAGGAGAACAGAGTGATATAATATCCAGGTGATAAAATCAACCAGCAATGCTAACCCTTGACAACAGGGAGCCAAAATCCTGGGACTAACAAAGTTACTTCATTGTTTCCCAAATTGCTTGTAGACAATCCCCTCATAAAGATTTCACTGCACCCTCTCCTCCCCTTTCAAGAGCTACAAGTCCTGAGAAAAGTGCATCACTTTAGTGGAATCAATCTCCCAGGAATGGCCAGTGTTGGTAAGTTTGAGAGAGGCGTAAAAATCCTTGGAGCCTGAGCTGAGGAAAGTACCCATGTTCCTATTATCAATCACTCATGTGCTAAAGGAGAGCCAGATGGTTAGCCAAGTCTCTCAGATCTGCATTTGTTGAAAAATACGTTAAGGCAAAAGTAAAGCTTAATGGAAATAGCAAGGATTAGAATTCATAAACTACAGTTTTCCTATGCTTATCTTATACCTCATGCATGATACTCTACTTACAAACCAAATTTCTGCTAGAATAACTAGATTCTTGTAAAAAAAAAAAGTATCAGGTGTCGACATAGAACAATTGTGGAAAAAAGCTTTGAACAATTAGTTCTATTTCTTACATATGTAAAACAAGCTATTTCTTGTACATGTAAGCACAATGAAGCACCTAACTGCAAAAAAAAAAAAAAAAATTTTTTTTCAGACCATAAAAGGAGGGAAGATAACTAAAAGTTACTCAGTGATTACTATGTATCATATTGCTCTCTTATTTCCTGGTTCAGATGATTTCTTCCTCCCAGAGATGTCCCTTCTGGTACTGTGCCTAGTAACCTCAGACCTGTGACTTGCCCAGGAAGCTCCAAAAGGATATTTTACATAATCAGTATCTGCCAGTTCTGGACCACTCTATCTCCCTCTCTCCAGATAGTTTTATCTCACAGCCAGGTGTCATATGAAAAAGGGCCCAGTAAATTAACACACACACTAAATTCTTATGATGAATGATGCTTTAATGTATTATTTAATGTATTATTCTTTTACTTTCATAAGTTCTTGCAGACAATGCCAAAATTCACAAAGAGGTGAAATCTGAGTCTCCACTGCTAGGCTTATGGAGAAGGTACTCTTGAGAAATGCTTTCCTGTGCCCCTCAAATCATACTAGGAGGCCTTCTCTTCTTTCGTATAAAGTTGACTCTAAAGACCATAAAAGTCCTGCTTCCTGCACTTCCCTGGAATTAAGAAATCATGTCTATAAAGTGTCCGAAGACGTCTGGAAAATTAGGTCGGATAAACAGGGTTGCAACTGCCACATCGTTTAGAAGAGGCAGTGTCTAAATCCAACCCTTGCAACACTAGCCAGGGTCTCCAGATGGGATCACTCAGGCAGGACTTTATAATCAAACGAGAAAGCTTACTGGCATTTTTTCAAAAACAAGGAGAACTTTAAGGGTCTACATTCGCCTCCAGGAAAGTGTTAGGCTTGACACTCTCTGTGATTTCTTGGTCCTCCCAATGAGGCTACAGTCCGAAAGTATGAGAACGTAGGGGGCTGAGAGGAGGATCCTCTCTTTCCCCTGGTCCTAAAGCAATAGTCCAACTGGGACTGGCCTGCCTAGGAGTCTTCAAGGGCTAAAACGAACTTCTAGGAAGGGGGAAGAGAAAGCACAGGCTAGGGACTGAGGACTCGGGGTGTGGAGACGAGAGGCACTGGTATTTCTACATGGACACGGGACGGGGGAACCGCGGAAGGGTTTGGGGGACAAGAGTTATGGATACTGAGAAGCCACGGTGGGGCTGGGCTGGGAGGGGGCGGGGAGAATGGCCACGTCAGTCCCGGTCCCGCCCGCCACGTTTCCCCTCGTCCTTTACTCCCACTCTCCACTCTGGGCGTTGGCTCTCACCGTTCGTCATGGCGGCTGGGCCCGGGCCTGGCTAGGGGTTCCGGGATCAGCTGTGAGTGGTAGCGGCGAAGACTGGGGAACCCAGCTCCTTGTTGACACTTCCCGATCGGGGCCGCAGCGACGGGTAGGAGGGGTAGTACGCAGGCGCAAGAGCAGAGAGGCGAGCGCCGAATGCAATCAGGAGTGGCTAGCAGATTGCGGAGCTAGGGAACTTGTGTGGGTGGTGCTTGCTGCAAATGCACGCGTAAGAAGAGCGCCAGCCGAGAAGCTTCCTAAGTGGCCATGGTAACCGTGTCTCCTTCTCCCTCTGCCCCTCCCCCTGCTCACGCTTGCTCTCGCGCGCGCGCTCTCCCCCACCCCGCAATAAAAAATAAAATTCGGCGAGAGTTCAACTCAATCTTCCGAGGCTGAAATTGTAAGTAAGGTTACCAGTGATTTGACAAGGTCCTAAAGGAACTCAATGGCGCTCTTGCTGCAGTGCCATCTGCTGACTGCGGCCTGCTTCGTTACAGAAAAAAAAGCTCGCAAATGCCTCCTTCTAAGAGCTGGAGTGGAGACGAGCCAAAGGAAGTCTAATGCAAGACATACTCCTTGCAAAAATAAAAATAAATGCGGGGCCGGGGGGGAGACATAGGGGACGAAACCTAAGACAAGGCCAGATATATTTATGCACATAAACAGACAAATCCCCCTGCCCAAATAAACTGCTCACAACCACTCAAAAACAACATAAAAATCTCTAATTGTCTTGGCCTTTGAACCTTTCATCAATTGTTATCCAGATCAGCATCAGCACTAATAATACCACTAGCAATCGTTAATTCCCTGCACCCATAGAGCCCAAACCAAGTCCTGAATAAATTCATGTTCACTAATTTGGATTGATCATGTAGCTCATCTTCAACTAAAAAATTTCTCCTCTTTTTTGGATACTGTTGAACTGTGCTAGCGTCACTGACCTGCACCTAATTGTTGTCTTTACTCAGGTTCTTCCACCTCTATATAGATGTTCCTAAGAAACTTAACACCCTCTTTTTCTCATTATTAACTCTCACTTGGCAACCTATTCTCTTCATGGTTTCAACTACTACTTCTTTGCAGAGTTCTTGAGTTGATGTCCTATCCAAGCTCCAATATTACATTTCTAATAGATGTTCTTCTGATATCTGAAATGTTTAAAGCCAAATGCAATTCCCCTCCGATTTCCCAGTTCCTAGGATTAATATTCCTTTCCCCCAGTCACTAAAGTTTAAACTTGTAAGCTATCTTTGTGTCAATTAGCTTTTTTCAAGATGTCATTCAGATTGTTCCCTTTTCAATCCTGCAGCCATCATGTTAGTGATTTTACTATGTCAGTCTTCTTTAAGCATCAATTTTATCCTCCAGTAGTGAAAACTTAACATTCGTAGAAGATTTTGACATTTCCAAAGCCAACACACCTTGTCGTATTATCCTATTTAATCCTCACAAGTGCCTTATTGCCCTATTTTGGAGATAAACTGAGGTTTAGGGTAAAACTACCCAGTGTCACACTCTAGCAATAATTCTGGTCTTCTGAACTGAGGACTAGAAAATTTTGCTCCAAATCACAACTGCTGTTTCCCGTAACAGCAACCACTGGCTGCTAAATATTGTTTAACTCCTTACCTTGCTATTCATGGCCTTCCTGCAGCACTTTCCACTGTTCTCCCAGGTAGATTTTAAGCTTCAGCTGTGAAAATAACTTCTGTATTCTTCAAATGGTGCTGTTTGCTTTCACAGTTTTTGCTCATGCCATTTACTGTTTTGGTAATAACTTTATCTCATTTTGTACTAGAAGGAAACCACTCCAATTTTTTAAAAAAGATTTATTTATTCGGGCGCCTGGGTGGCTCAGATGGTTAAGCGTCTGCCTTCGGCTCAGGTCATGATCCCAGGGTCCTGGGATCGAGTCCCGCATCGGGCTCTCTGCTCCTTGGGAGCCTGCTTCTCCCTCTGCCTCTCTCTCTCTGTCTCTCATGAATAAATAAAAAAAATCTTTAAAAAAAAAAAAAAAGATTTATTTATTCATTTTAGAGAGGGAGAGAGCACACAAGCAGGGGGAGGGGCAGAAGGAGAGGGAGAAACTCTGAAGCAGACTCTGACTCCCCACTGAGTTCAGAGCCTGATGCAGGGCTCCATCTCACCACCCTGAGACCATGACCTGAGCTGAAATCAAGAGTTGGCCACTTAACCGACTGAGCCACCCAGGTGCCCCAAAACCATTCCAATTTTTGTCACTCTCTGAAATACAAGTGTTTTTCCCCATGGATCTCAGAATTTAAGAATGAAGTTTAAGGACAAAGTCAAGGACAGTTGAAGAGCTGAGCAGAGTGACTGATTAGTTGTCTAATTACCATTTCAAAGGACAGTGATAGACCACAATATCCTACTCCGAATAAGTAGTTATTTTATTCTCTGCTCAGAATTTGCCCATTTCCATTTCTTCTTTTTCTATGTGTCTTTCTTCTTCCTACTCCTTCTTCCCACTCTTACATTTATGACCTTTCTTTCTCTCTCTACTACATTTTTTCCTTTCCAGGTTTTATAAAGTAGTTTATCTTTTTATTGAATAAAACAAATCTCACCAGATTTTTGTTTCAAAATTTGTTATACCAAGAATTTTATATTTAAAAATTAAATTCAAGTTTTCTTTCTGTAAAATTGGGTTGTATTGGTTGCTCCTTTCTAGGGTCATTGAATGATTAGATGAATTACTGTTTACAACAATACCTGGCATGAAGTAAGGGCTCCATAAAGGCTAGTTATTAGGTTTTTTTTTTAAGATTTTATTTGACAGAGAGAGACACAGCGAGAGAAGGAACACAAGCGGGGGGAGTGGGAGAGGGAGAAGCAGGCTTCCCGCCGAACAGGGAGCCCGATGTGGGGCTCGATCCCAGGACCCTGGGATCATGACTGAGCCGAAGGCAGACACTTAATGACTGAGCCACCCAGGTGCCCCAGTTATTACTGTTGTTGTTGTTCATTTGTTTAAAAAATATTAACCAGTGTCTATTATGTGCTCAGCACTTTGCTAGATTCTGTAGGATTAGAGGCAAAAATGAGTTCCTGCCCTCAGAGAACAAACTGTATTGAAGAAGATAGATGAATGAACACATTTAATAGAGCACAGGCATTATGTATGTAATGACATTATCTTTGATCTTCATAACTGTTTTGCAGAATATTTTTAAAATGAGAAAGCTGAGACTCAAAGAAGGCACGTGGGTGACATCACATAGCTCGTTAGGATCCAAACCCAGGTCTGTCTGACTTCAGAGCTCCCTTCCCCCTTGTTTTCACACTGCTTCAAACTGGGATCCTTTCCACTGATACTAATCTTTGATGGTTTTGTTCCAAGCATTAGTGTTTCTGTCACGCTGGAAAGCACCATATAGCCTTACATCAGGCCAAAGCTTGGGCCGCTGGCTCTTGCAGCCAAACTGCAAGGAGTAAATAGAGCCCCACTGACTGGGGACTCAGTTCAGACAGTCCTTCCTCAGTTCATTTCAGCCTCCACTGGAAGACAGGCAGTTGTTGCCAAACACCTGTCAGTCAAGAACAGTGGCCTGTTTGTTGGGTTTTTGTGGTCACTGTGGTGAACACTAATCAGTCATGGGGACCATGACTATGGCATTCTGGTTTAACCAAAGAGTAAGTTCAGTCCCAAAGGCGCAGCTTGCAACAATAGCTTCATTTGAATTACAACATATTTGAAAAGGGATGTCAAACAGGCATTAATTTATGCTACAAATATTTATTCCGGGACTTCTGAGCCTAAGGAATGTACTATCCTTTGGAAGCTCAAAGATGAATGAGAAACAGACTCTGTTTTTAATAAGATTTAGCAGACAAGATAAGCCGTGTGTATAAATCACCAGAAAACACAGTAGAAAGTGAGAAGTGTCGAAGGAAAATGAAAATTAAGTTCTGTGGGAGAGTAAAGGAGAAAGTGCTTTCAGCTGGAGAGCCCAGGGGAGGCTTAGTGGAGGTGCAGACATTTTAGCTGGGCTGGAAAGGTGCATGTAGCATTTCAATAAAAAAGGTATTTTAGTGGGAAACGAGTAGAGTGATCAAAGGCATGGAGATGGAAAAGCACAGGATAAGTTTGGGGCACAGCACACTCTTGCCTTTCTCCTTCACTGGCTAACTCCAGTCATCCCTCAGGTCTCAGCTCAAACCTCACCTGCTCACAGAAGGCATCTCTGACCTTCTTGGGTTGCCTTCCGCCATCATGCTCTGATAGGATCATACAATATCTATTCAGTTCATGTCCCTCTGCTGCACTGTAAGGTTCATGAGCCTGGGACTGTGTATTTTCAATGTTTGTCATTTTATCCCCAGTCCCATACCAGTGCTGCACATTTTACAGGTGCTTGTGAAATATTTTGTTGTGTGCATAATTGAATGTGGTCTGTGGAACTAGAATGGGGAGTTCATGAAGGAGAACAGCAGAAGATGCTGCTGAAAGATAGGTTCTGGAATAAAAACAGCTAACACAGAATGTTGACTACATGCCAGGTACAGTTCAAAGCACCTTCCGGGTGTTTACACATCCGAGCCTCCTAATAACCTTAGAAGGTTAGTAACTTATCTCCATCTCACAGATAAGGAAGGGATGTATTGAGAGGTCAAGTAAGTTGTCTCAAAAGTAGCATAGCTGGTAAGTAGTACTGCTAGGATTTTTTTTTTGAGAGAGAGTGTGTGTGTGTGCAGGCATAACGTAGGGGGAGGGGCAGAGGAGAGAGAATCTTTTTTTTTTTTAAGATTTTATTTATTTATTTGACAGAGAGAGACACAGCGAGAGAGGGAACACAAGCAAGGGGAGTGGGAGAAGGAGAAGCAGGCTTCACGCCAAGCAGGAAGCCTGATGCGGGGCTCAATCCCAGGACCCTGGGATCATGACCCGAGCTAAAGACAGATGCTTAACGACTGAGCCACCCAGGTGCCCCGGGAGAGAGAGAATCTTAAGCAGATTCATGCTGAGTGTGGAGCCCAACTCAGGGCTACTACCCTGAGATCATGACCTGAGCAGAAAGGAAGAGTGAGATGCTCAACTGACTGAGCCGCCCAGGCACCCCAAGTACAGCTAGGATTTTAAAACCGACTCATCTGACCCCGGAGCAAGTTTAACCAAAGGGTATAGGTATTCTTTAGTAAAGAAGCAGATGGTTAAGACTGCACAAGATTATT